TTAAACGACAGAAATTGAATGAGATGAACGTTTTTTTTTTAAACTTCGGAATACCATTTTTCTGTACTGATTATTATTGATGTAGATTCTGTAAAATGCATTTTTACTGACTGTAGTTTTGCATTTCCACAGGCTATCATTCAGAGTGTTCGCCCTGGGTCTGGCCTGACAGGCTGGGCGCCCTGTGCGCCTGACAGACCTCCTCAGCGGAAAAAAGGACTCATACCAACTCTTACCCAATCAAAAGAGCGCAGCACCAGTGCGCATGCGCTGTGGATCTTGCTCGCACACACGACTTTGTCAGAATTTAGCGGCGCTAACGTGCTAAACCTAACCTGAGCTAGCTCCGTGGTCACACGCGTGTTTTCATTTTAAAAGCGGCTGGATCGTGAAAACTCAGCGTGTTACCAAACTCTGCCAGAACGTGAACCAAGGTAGGAGCGTTTTCATACTTTAACGAGGGCAGCAGCGTCGGCAGACACAAGCACACAGCTAACATGTCGTGGAAACTGGTTAGCTTGATAGTAACTCACAGTGGTAACGCTAAGGTAGGTTTGAAGGTGATGGTCGCAGCTGCTCTAGTTCATACTTGTAGAACTTGGTTAATGTGCGTGTGGGCTCTGGTTGCTTCATTGTTCAGCTGGATCCAGTGGACAAGTGACCAGGACGAGAGGTCAAACCTGTTCTCTGATCAGATCAACCACTCAACACTTACTCTCAGAGCTTATGAAATACATCCACACTCCTCCAGCCTCACAAGAGGGACGTGGAGCAGTGTTGTGTTGCTGTCACACTGTATTCAGACTATACAGTGGTGTGTTATCCTGGAACTGAGATCAAGATGTTGTGTTGAAGCTGTGAAACAGATGTTCGTCCTGACCTCAACCGATGAATGAATTAAGTTTGGATTATTAACAGGATTATTCTTTCCCTGTTTTTTTTTATCAGTGTGATGCAATTCAGTGTTTGCTTCTCCTTCTTCAACTCTTACAAATCTTCAGCTGGAACGGTTCTAGTCAGCTGATTGCTACGTCATCATTATTTAGCTGTATAAACTCACCTTATACACAGTGGAGTTGGAGGATATCACAGACACATGTTGTTGGATGAACTTCAAGTTTGTTTGACAGTGTACCAGCCAGTTTCTTCACTGCAATGTTTGATGTCATGTTTCACAATGACTGGTAGAAAAGGCAAACATCGTAGGTGTGATAATATTCTTCCACACTGAGAGCGTCTCAGTTTCTTAAAGCAGAGGCAGAACAGAGGTTTCTGGAAAAATATAACTTCCAAAATGCCTGGAAGTAGATTAAATGATATATATAGTGTCCAAAGCAACACTTGTGTCTGTATTATCAGCAGATATTCCATGAATCTATTCAATTTCAGTAGTTTTTTTCTCCAAACTGTTAAATTTTCTCTGATTATGGGTTCTTTGGGTTATGTGTGGATTTGCTGTTTATCATTGCACAGCTTTGTTTTGCACAGCTTTAATCAGTTCATAGAGTAACTACAATGCAAATTGATCAATTACAAGACATTATATAGGCAGCACGATTATTAAAAAGTTATTGCAGTTTGAAAGACAACATCTTAATACGGTACTTTTCTTACTTCATGCATCTTATAATTAAGTGACACTCAGCAAGAGTATTATTGCTATATAAAGACAATCTTGTCCTGTGTCTAGCAGTCCCTTGTTCAAGGTGTTAATAAACTACATTTGCTCACTGCCTATGATAAGTAATGAATTCAGTATATTTGATGCAAGAAAATTAAGTTTACACAGTGATGTTTGGTGTATAATGTAATGTAACTCATTTACATGCCTAATTGTGAAATATGCATTTGAAGTCAGTTGCAAACAGAGGACTGGATTCTAAACCCAAGCTTGCAACACAGAAAGCTCATTAACACAAGGTAACATAAATTCATTAGTCTGCTGCTAGTGAGGTGTGGCCATGCTTTTAATGGTCCAGGTTCTGCGAGAGGCAAGTCCATGAACATTCGATTTCTTGGTGGCATCAGCGACAACTCATTGTTTGACCCTCATGACAGCTGATTCTCTGTTGTGTTGAACAGGAGCTGTGTTGGTGCTTGAGTTGTGCGGTTTGATGATTTGTTGCTGCGTCTGAGTCCTCATGAAAATAGAAGATATTTTTTGTATTGTGAGTTATGTCAAAAGTGACGTTATAAACTGCAGCTGAGGGTAATAAGAGGATTAAATATACAACATTTCTTTGTTTAGTTTTGATGTGTTTTCCAGTGGAAAATAAAAGCCTGTAACAATTCGATGGGGTGTAACATCACTGATCATATGTCAGTTTGGGTGGCGCCATGGATGTACAGTAGTGATTGTAAAATCTGTTCTGTGCAGATTAGGCTCCTCTGGTGTTGTCTGAAGCCAAGGTTCTTTGGGAGAAGTTAGATGGACGACTATGTCATGTCTCTAGCTGGTTTACTTTTAAATTTAGATCCACGACCTTGACCAGCAAAAGTTTGGTAACGTCAAGATGAATCATGTAGTTGATCCCAGAAGTTGGTGTTTTTTTAAAAGAACATAATATAGGTGCATACATTCTTGATTCAAAATGATCAACTTCTTTGCTACAGACTTTGTCGCTCTGAACCTTATCACAAACATGCGGGTGCCTATGGAATTCTAATGAGTAGTGCTGCTGACACATTACAGTTTTACAATCCAGGACTGGACTCAAGGTCACATCAGGACCAATATAAAACATACTGTATGTTTTACATTGATCCTAATGTGACAGATAAGAACAAGTGGATAAATACAAATAAGGCCAACGAATTTGTCTTGTGTTGATACATTTGCTTTGTTGTATTGGAGTAAGGCTACAGTAGTTTGATGAAAAGCAGGAGGTACTTGACAGAATACTGTGTTTGTGTGAAAAAAGAAAGCAACATTATGCGTGTTGACAGTTTCAAAACAACAAGAAAGTACTTTATTTTGATGGTCTTATTAGGAAAGGCCTCTCTCCCAGGCAGTAAACCTCATGTCCGGTGGAAAATTATTTCGACATTATTTTTCTGGGTAATTTGTAAAATAAGAAACAACAAATTTAGCTGGTAACCAATCTATTAGTCAAATTCCATTGATTTTAAATAAATTGTGGAAACTATCAAAGAACCGGTCACACTGATAATGGTTATATCTCTGAGCACATGAAGTGGCATTGTGATGGAAACCTTGACTGTCAGGGAGAGCTGCTCTGTCTGCTGCCTTGTCTTAGGCGTCATATGACAACAGAGTCATGTGCCTTCAGACAAGCCTCACACCACCTCAGAGAACATGGTGTCCGCTCTGTGAAACTGAAGTTTTCTTTGTTAAGAAAAAACTGTTGAGTAGAGTTTGAGTGTTGGACAAATATTGTGAGTAGTGGAAGTGAGACTCGATGTTTCCTGTTCTCAGCCAGCATTCTTGTTGTTTATGTTGCTCAGTCATTTTAAGGTTGTGATTTTTATGGGGGTGGGGTGGTTTCAATAAAACAGAAAAGGAGAACAAAATGTTGCATCGTCATGTCTCACGTTGATGTGCTCACTCTCTGTGGCTTTGTTTGTCAGATTAATAGCTGTTAGTTTTAGAGACTAAAGCATCACTTAGGTATGATCACTACTGTTTACTCAACAGTCATGTGCTTCAGGCTCATTCAGGCTGTTTAACCACCGTTTTCTTTTTGCAGGGGGGCTGATATCCATCCCTCAACTTCCCAGGGATCCCTCAGCCTGCCCTGATGAGGGCCGAGCAGGATGGAGACATCCTCGAAGGTAACTCCCTCACAAAACAGATACATGACCATCGCCTTATTAACACACCTGCTGTGCTGTCCAAAATAAACCCTCTGGAGAAGCATCAGTGTGAATGCTTAGAACAATACTTTACAGCACATTCTAAGTAGCATCACTGTATAACTTTTGAAAAACTCCATCAAATAAAGGGAGATCTATTATCTTTATTCCTGATGCTGGAAAACTTTGTTGAGATTAAAAATTGTGTTACGATTTAAAAGCTTGAATGTTAATTCTCACAGTTCTGACCTTTATTGCTGCTCATGTGATGCTGTGCAATGTGTTAAGAGGGTAAAGAGCAGACCGGGGGTTGTGTCCTTTTGACAAACCCCAGCACAAGTTTGGTATGTGTGCTGTCATTACTTCTCTCTTCTGGCAGGTCATGTGTAGAGAGAAGATGTCAGAATGTTGTGACATCTAATGAGAAAGAAAAGCATGATAAAGGCTGAGTCATATTAGACAGGGACACTATTAGAGAGCGGTGGACTTTGGGACCAGCAGTGAGTTGGAGATGACGGGGGAAACAGAGGAAAGGTCCAAACTCAGTGAGTTGTACAGGGCGTCTACAGCTTCAATTAAAAGGACTCATAATAATAATCTAGTCAAAGATGTAATTACAGATAGGATTCCATGTGAGATTTTAGTTTTGTTTATGTTCACTGGTGTTTCCCTTCATTGTGTTCTCAGTCATTGAGATTAAGAATAATTTTGTAATTACATGTTATTACTGAACAACTAAACACATGTTATTTAAAGTCATACGCTAAATCACTTTGTTAGAATTTTTTTAATTAATGTGTTAAGTGATATAGCTTAACATTGCTTAGATTTTTCATACGGTCATTCAACTTTCACAAATCTCTTCATTTTAAAGTGTATGTAGTCTTTTTAACAAAGCTCCTGGACCCCAGATGAGTCTCACATGCTCAAAACATTGTCCTGAGTGGAGATTTATAAAAGCTGTGTTTTGTTTTTTTAAAAGATGGAAATGTCTGGATTTAAATCTTTTAGCAGAGTAGTTCTGTGCAGATCTGCTGTATTTCTCGCTTTAGAAGTTAAAATCCCACATTGTGGTTTTGTTGCTAAAATGATTCTGAATGCATTAAACATAAAATAAACGCTGAAGGGGGGAATTTGGTTTAGCAGATAAATGTTGTTGCAAAGGTGTAATTCAAAGTCTCGTCACAAAGTCTTGAGAAATTATTTTTTATTTGTTGTTTGAAATCACATTGTTTCCATGAGCAAACAAAGCATTATGCTTTCAGGATTGCTCATCAAGATGTCAGTACATTTCAGGTGACATATGATAATGTTACGTGGCCAAGTGCATCTTCAATCTCAGCAGTTAGGCTGGTGTGTGATGATAAGGTTCAAAATGACAAGAATGAGCTCTGCTCACTGAGTGATTTTCTCTAATAGAACCTCAGATAGTGAGATGGATTTGTCTTATCTCAAACAGCAACTTGTTTCTTACTCTGTGGTTTTGTTAGAGGACTCCCCTCAGGATAATGGAATCGAGACGAACCGGTACAGCTCCATCTCTCCTCCTGCCTCACCTGTGGTCCAGGAAGAGCCCTTCACCACATACTTTGAAGACAAGGTGCCAATTCCTGAGAGCACCAACCAGGTACTGACGATGACTGTTTCATGTTTTATAAGCAGCTAAATGAACCTCTTTGCTCCTGTTGGACAAATAAGAATTGGTTCAAATTTAGGTAAAAAATATGGACTTGGATCTATTAAATCAGTTAGAAAAATAAAATATTGTTTGTCTTTCGTCCAGGTCTTCAGTTTCCGTAAACTCTGGGCCTTCACTGGACCAGGGTTTTTGATGAGTATCGCTTACTTGGATCCAGGGAACATTGAGTCTGACCTGCAGTCTGGAGCTAAAGCTGGCTTCAAGGTGAGAAATCAAAACAAGACTGCTGCCATGGCTCGGGAGTTTACATTGCTGGTCATAGCTATGGATTGTAAAACACAGAAAATCTAGAACCATAACTTTTAACTATATTTATTTTCCAAGTTTTTGTTGTTCCCTTCTCCCAGATAATATCCCTTTGTTTTCATATTTTTCTTTGTCTTGTGTTTTGTTATCTGAACAAAAGCACCATTGCCATCATTATGATTTCAAGTACTGACTGAATGTTGTCTTTCGTTTTAATTTGTTAATATGTTGAAATGAAACTCCTCATAAGAAGTTGAGGCATTTTGTTCTGATTTTGTCTTTCTCAGCTTCTATGGGTGCTCCTGTTAGCCACCATTATCGGGCTGCTGTTGCAGAGGTTAGCTGCACGCCTCGGGGTCGTAACAGGGATGCACCTGGCTGAAGTCTGTAACCGCCAGTATCCTACAGTGAGCTTCACTCATTTACCCTCTTCTGTCTACATACACTTTTATTTTGCCAGAGGTTATATTTGTATTTGTCAATATGAGTGCTGCATTATTGATGATGATTCATATTCCTTGATATTGGTGAATAACCTCTGTGAACTAGAGATATACCCTAATGTTGGATATACAAAGACCTTATTACATTCTGTTAACTGATTTTATTTGCTAAACTCTCATTATATCTTAAATCATTTGCTTTTTCAGGTTCCTCGGATCATCCTTTGGTTGATGGTCGAGTTGGCCATTATTGGCTCAGACATGCAGGAGGTCATCGGCTGTGCCATTGCTCTCAACCTCCTCTCTGTGGGCAGGTAACATATTTTGTCATACTTAGCCTTGAAAGTGGTTGTAAACATTTTTTCCATAATTTTTTCCAATGATCCTGAAAATATTGAAGAAAAATGCAATTTGCTCTTGTTCTCCTCCAGGATCCCACTGTGGGGAGGAGTCCTCATCACCATCACAGACACATTTGTCTTCCTCTTTCTTGACAAATATGGTATATGATTTTCTCCTATAGATATACAACCAGTAGCATTCAGTCAGTACTTGAAAAATTGTGCATCTCAGTGTTGATACAGTTTTTTTTCTTTGTAGGCCTGAGGAAACTTGAGGCTTTCTTTGGCTTTCTTATCACTGTAATGGCAATAAGCTTTGGTTACGAGGTATGATTCCCTTATGTTTGAAATGTTATTGAAGTTTTGGGCAACATTAATGTTCATTACACCCTGACATGTTTAACTTGTCGCCTGTCTTTAGTATATTCTGGTAAAGCCAGACCAAGGGAAGCTGCTGACAGGGATGTTTGTACCGTACTGTGCCGGCTGTGGGCCTGTGCAGCTGGAGCAGGCTGTGGGAATTGTAGGTGCTGTCATCATGCCCCACAACATCTACCTGCACTCGGCGCTGGTAAAGGTAAGTAACAGGTTTAGTCATATGACTTAAACCTAAAGGATTCAACAAGTCAAGATTAGATGTCATTTAGAAAAATTCTTAATTTTATTGGCTTAAAAATAAACAGTGTTTTTCTATTTATTCCCTCATGTACCAGTCTCGGGAGATTGACCGCAAGAACAAGAAGGATGTAAAAGAAGCCAACAAGTACTTTTTCATCGAGTCAACGGTCGCTCTGTTCATCTCTTTTCTCATCAACGTCTTTGTCGTGGCGGTTTTTGCTGAGGCCTTCTATGATAAGACAAATATCCAAGTGGTGGGTAAACACTAAAATGAACTACTCTTTACTAAGCACTGGTGAAGCTTGTGTCTGTCATTCTGCAATACAGTGATGTAAATGTTTTGGGATCGGGACTGTGAATATCAATTTGTTGCTTACTGGATGTTCTCTTTTCCTGGTTGCAGCATGAAGAGTGCAACGCAACTGGCAGTCCTCACACAGATCTCTTCCCAATGAACAATAACACATTGGAGGTGGACATCTACAAAGGGGTACGTCAGGGCATAGTGACTGAAACATTAAAGGTTCAGTGTGTGGAATTTAGTGACATCTAGTGGTGACATTTCATGTTGCAGCTAAATATGTGGACTGTTTACAGTAGAAAAGTGACTAAATTAAGTTTGCTAAAATAAATCTTGATCTTTGAGGTGTATAATAACCATGTCTCACCTCTCTCTCTTTTATTAATAGATGGCTTCAGTAAGTAGAAGTATAATTAGAATAATTCATTCTTTGTTTATGTTTGTTCAGGGAGTGGTCCTCGGCTGTGTCTTTGGCCCTGCAGCTCTCTACATCTGGGCCATAGGGATCCTGGCAGCTGGACAGAGTTCCACTATGACAGGCACTTACTCTGGGCAGTTTGTCATGGAGGTAAGAATGCCTGTTCGTTGGTAGCTTTACATTCATTAAAATAAACATTACATCGAAATCTGTTTACCTATCCTTGTGTTGTCTTGCTTTCTTAGGGTTTCCTGAACCTGCGATGGTCCCGTTTTGCACGGGTGCTGCTGACCCGCTCCATTGCCATCACGCCAACTTTGCTGGTAGCCATTTTTCAGGACGTTCAGCATCTGACAGGCATGAATGACTTTCTCAACGTGCTTCAAAGCATGCAGGTCAGGTCAAGTGCTCAAAATCAAATCTGTGAAAAGCTCTTTACCCTGCTCTTACTCAACCTACAGCCCAGATTTCTACTTATCCTTCTTTTATTGTGTAGAGCATAATCCTGTAAAATATTCACCTTTTTTCCCCCTATCCAACAGCTTCCATTTGCTTTGATCCCAATTCTGACCTTCACCAGTCTGACATCCATAATGAACGACTTTGCAAATGGATTGTGAGTGAAATGTATTCGTTTTTAATCATCAATTCTTTCTACCTGTTTTAATCTCCCATAGCTGACTTTCTCATGGCTCTGTAGTACATACTGTATTTGTTAGTTGTATTTCTTAAACTGTATTGTTCATTGACCGAACAATTACCAAGGTACTTATTGTCGGTGTGTCAGCAGAGTATCTGATTTTATAATACAGACAAACAGGATCAAAGTTGGTCCAACTTTCAAATGAACCAGGTGTATATGTTGTGGTTGAGGTCTTGAGTTTAGTTATCCATTGATTATTATCTTATTTAACTTTACAGATGTTGTCAGATAATTTAGTTGGACTATATATTAAAAACACTCTGTTGATAGTCAGGCATTTAGTTGTCACACAAACATGGGATTTAGTCAGTAGTGTAATGATGATGATGATGCACCATAATTATAGTTCTAATGAATCATCACAGTAGTGAACATTACATTACAAACACATGACATTCTCAGGATCCTGTTATTTTGAGAAAAAACATTATTTCTCAATGCCTGCTTCTTTTTTTTAGGGTGTGGAAGATTTCCGGGGGCATCGTCATCCTGGTGGTTTGTGCAATCAACATGTACTTTGTGGTGGTTTATGTGACAGCACTGAACAGCGTGCTTCTCTACGTCCTCGCGTCTCTCCTCTCCGTAGCCTATCTGTGCTTCGTAGGCTACCTGGTGAGTTATTAGTGCAGCCACACATTGACTTTCATTTGGTTTTAGACATACTGTTTTGTGACCTTTCTCTCCTTTGTCGTTGTCTGCAGGCTTGGCACTGTCTGGTTGCTTTGGGGGTTTCCTGCCTGGACTTTAGCAGCAGGGTAAGAAAGCGACCTGCTCTGTTGATAGAGGAGCAGTCAGAGTACGACTCCTAAAGCTGGACAGGACAGTAACCACCAGCATTCTTCTGTCCTGTCGGAGACTCTGAGCCCTGTACACAACCGGGACTTTCTCGAGATCACATAGGATCTTTAAAAGCACATTTTCTGCTAATGTCACATGTTTGCTTTTGTGTTGGACTGGGTATGGAAGTTTGTTGCATATTAGAAAATTAAATCAAACTTTCTACTACCACACCAGCGCAGTATGTGAGGTGTGAATAATTGATGCTTGAGTTAACCTCTAAGGACATATATGTGCATATTTTGACAAATCAATAATTGTTGCAATCCTCAAAGACAACAACTGTCGCTACATTTGCTTTTAAGTGTTTATACAACAAACAGTATAACTCCATTTCTAATTCATGTAATTATCAGTTTCTTTAAATAACAACTTCCAGACTTTTTCAAAAGTAAAATGTCCTAGATGTCAAGAAATAGCAGCTCAGCTTGTGTTACCAAACTGTCCCTGAGAGGATATGTTCCCAGCAGTGTTTGTGTTGTCACAAACTTAAGCAGTTGTTAGTTGGATAACAGAGTTTTATATAGATGATCCAGTGATTTTTAGACTCTAGCTACTTTATGTGAAGTAAAACAGTAGCCACAATGTCTGGGACATACTGCTGCAAATCTGTAAAACAAGTTTAAAGTCCAGCTGCCTGTGAAAGGACCATAGACTGTATATAAAGATGGAAAACATGACTGTTCCCCTAAAGTGAAGCCAAAGCACATCAATAGACCCTTGGTGACTGGCTGCATTATAGATCTTAAACTCCACCTCGTCTATGTTAGTAAGTAGGACATGGACCAAAATAAAAAGTCCAAGTACATATTAAGTAATTGGCTTCTGTCATTTTGTAGTTCTTATCACACTGATGTTTGTTCAAGTGTTATTTTTCTGATAAGTCTGGTTTTGATTAGTTATTTCATGCTATAAAAACGGGGTGAAACGTCATGATTAACAGCTGAATTTCTAACGACTTAATTTCTGGAAAGTGTGAGGAGGTGGAGCCTCATCGTCCATCTTTATATACAGTCAGTGGGGAGTGCCAGAGCAGCAAAGGAAACACAATATAAACATAATACAATTTAGTTTTTATTTTTCATTAAAAAAACATTATTATAATACAGTATTATTTTTCCAACATCAATATTTTTAATTTAAAAAATCTGACATGTAGCATATCATACACACTGTTTGCTGTTGAGTTCAGACTGTTACCAACACAGGATCAGCAGGGCTTATTTTCAGCTCTGTTTCTGTTAAGTAAGAGAGACCTAACTATCTGCCTAAAGTAATATTTTCCAGACTCATCCATGACATTGTCTCTGACTAATATTAGCTGCATCAAGTACTTAGCTCTGTGTGAGCCCACTTGCGTGGATACTGTGAACCTGTCAGTGTCCTTGTGGGAGGAGGAGGAGGAGCTACTGCTGCTTCTGCTACTCAGTCTACCTCAACATCATTCAACTACCTTCTCATCTCTCAGCCTCCGTGTAGCTTCTAGCTTAGCTCACTGGATTTTTGCATTAAGTAAGTGAAAAACACCTAATAATTTGAAGAGAACATAATACTAAATTTCAGGGGTTTAATGCTGTGAGCTGGTTTCTGTCTAACATGTCAGAGACGTTTTAGTAACAAGTCTTAGTATCATGCAGAAGTGATGCACATACCTAATCTTCTGGTTCCCAGTTCAATGCAAGTCTGTGTATGAATGAAATATGCCTCCTGACGTGAAGTACACTGCTCCATTCAAATGAGTGAAGCTTTATGTGATTACAGCCTCATCCTCTGAGCCTCTTTTAAGTGCCTAAATAATCAGGATGGCAGCAACTCCAGTTGGTCAACACCCTGATGTAATCTTATTTGTGAAATTCTATTTATTTAGGAGGAAACTGATCATCAAGACATGTTTTTAACGGTGCACAGCAGTTATTTCATTCCCGCTAGACGAACAGAGCTTAGGTGTCCAA